TGGGCTGTCAATCTCACCCCTGACCCTGGCACACCAAGCCTGGGCTCGTCCCTAGTGAGCTGGGCGATGTCCCCTTCCCCCTTCGAACTTAGTTTAAAGCCCTCTCAATGAGCCCCGCCAGCTCGTGGCCAAGAATCCTTTTTCCCCTTTGAGACAGCTGGACTCCGTCTGTCGCCAGCAGGCCCGGTGCTGTGTACACCTCCACATGATCAAAGAAGCCAAAATTTGACTGATGGCACCAGTCCCTGAGCCACCTGTTAACCAGGTGAGTCTTCCTGCCCCTTTCAGTGCTGTTCCCTGCCACTGATGGGATGGAGAAAAACACCACCTGTGCCCCTGATCCCTCAACCAGTCGCCCCAGAGCCCTGAAGTCCCTTTTGATGGCCTTGGGACTTCTCTCTGCTATCTCGTCCCCGCCAACCTGCCTTACCAAGAGGGGGTAATAATCAGAAGGCCTTAGAGTATGTTGAAACACAATGTTGACAAAGATAAGAACCAGGGATAAGCAAATTCAAAGAAACCAACTTATTCAGCAGTTGCCTGGAGATACAGCATATAGAGCCACCAAACTGAGTTGGTTAGTTCAGATGGTGAGGGAACTGCAGCTGGATCCCATAGAATTAGGCCATGTTCCCATCTGGCAGGAAGTAAGGGAATTTTAGAAACTGCAAACTTTGAATGGATCTCAGAAACTAAGGAAGACCAAGTCACAGTTCTAATGGTTAGGTGTACAGTTTAACTGTCTGGGCAACTACACTTCAGTTCTGACTCAATTATGGACACTGAAAATTCTTCGCAGATCATAGCTTAGCAGGGACTCCTCTCCTTTCAGAGCACTAGGATATACACCACCGAGAAGGAGGACATATATCAGTAAGAATGATAAGACACATGGGAGAAACAGATATAAAGATGCTAAGAAAGACTGGGTATTCAGCTGCTTCCCAGAGAAAACGAAGTCTGAAGCACCATACTAAGGTGGTTATTTCCACACATAAGCAGGGAAGACTTTCTTGATGCTGGTCCTGTTTAACCACTTGGCCTCAGTATCAGTGATCTCTGGCAATATAATGACAATACGAATACTCTAATCATCAAAAAGACATACAGCTGCCACCAAGCCAAGTACATTTAGCATGCTTCCTCTGTGCAGATTTTATGCCATCATAGGCCAAATGGATTTTGAGTCTCAAGATTTTAACTCTATCATGACATAGCAAAAGTGTTTTAACACTAAGCAGATAGTTGTTGTTTTAACAGTAAATTAACAAATAATGTCAATGCAGAAAATGATTTGTAATAAAAAATACTTAATATTTAATCAGAAAAAGTGTGAAACTAAAATCCCAGGAACTAAAACAGCTCAAATTTCTTTTTCTGGAGTGGTGTTCTAAGGCATGAATCAGAACCACAGAATTTAAGCTCATTGTCACAAGAGCAGGCTTGGAGATCTTAAGGCTATGACATACTCTTGGTTATTAAGGTTGCACATATACCCTGCATATACTCTTGTTCCTCCATCCAAGAACAGGTTTCAGCCCTAAGGAAAATAAATAAAACACTCCAAATCTGCTACAGAATGCATAGGTGTGCCACATAAAGAATCAGGTAAACACCTGAGGGAAAGCAGGTATATCCACCATTCCTTAGGGAACGTATCAAGACAGATAGCTCCCTGTCACACTGAAAGAAAATGGAGATTCTTTTCTATCAAAAGACTTCATCATATTTAGGATACATTTTACATTATGGAAGAACTTCTGGCAATAAGCATGGAGAAAAGTCATTTTACACATCTTGATTACTGTCAGGGATTTTTCCATTATGTAAACAATAGCTCATAGGTAATCAGCCATCCAAAGCTTCAAAACAGCTTTGAGAGCAGACAGCAACTGACTTTGCTGAATGCAAACTTGTCATATAAACCTCTTGATAGTTATTATTCTAAGAAGCACATCGCCTCTGTCTTTGCCTGTATAGACTACAAAGTGCATGAAAAGTAGTGAAGGAGCCTGAGAAGTTGCTGGGGGAACATGCAAATTTATTCAGACTTTTTTGAATCAGTGGAAAAGCACTTGGGCTAATCCTAGAGATGTGCTTGTTATTCTAAACTGCTGCAAATGTCCTCTTAACACAGTAATAACAATTTAACTTTGAATTTAGATAGCATTACACACATTAAAATGCCACACAAATTTAGTAATAGTCTGTATACCCTATCAATTTTGACTGTGTTCAAATTAAACCAGGTGAGGCTTGCTGAAACAAATATTTTTGGGCTGTAACAGGGTACTTGCAAGCACTTGCTTTCAGTGAGAAACTACTTTCATCATATATGCCCAGTTTTTAGTATTTGGCCTGAAAAAGCAGAAGAATCAACTCATAACATAAAAAAGGCAATTTCTTCCCCAACTGAATTTTTCCAACAGCACATAAACTTGGTACGATAACACTCTAACACATCACTAATAATCAGTCATCATGTCTTAGCAGAACATAATATAATAAAACCTATTTTTCTAAGACTTTTATTCATCTTTTTTCTTTTTAACACCATGTACTTTAGATTGACTCTTTATATCAGATATTACTTTTTTTTTCCTTCCAGATGCTTAGAGGTTACGAAAGGATTTTATTTCTTTTGATTCCTCTCCTGGGAAAAGAATCTACCGGCTTGTTAGTTTCCTCAGCACTTCCTATATAACAAAACATGGCATATATGTAAGGCCTCATTTTCTTTTCTTAGTTCTACTCCAAAGATGCTGTGGGCACCTGCAACTTCTGTTAATTTGCTTGGGTATTGCAGGTGTTCAGCAGCTCTAAGGATTGAACGTACTGAGACCAAAGAAATGCGAGCAGCTTATTCTGGATCCATGGAGCTAATGAGGACTGTGAGTCCTAAAATAGACAGCAGTGAACTTACACCACCAAGAAAATGTATTTCTTCCAAGCGAACCATCAAGAAATATGTGACTTGTTAGAAAAATACCTTCCTTCTCTTTTCTTGAATAGTCATGTTCACAAGCTCTCATTATATTTTGCAGACTGAAACAGAGTAAGATTTGTTCCTATTCACATCTGAATCTCAGTCTGATTCCCATGACTATTACTGTCACTATACAATTAATATAAAAACATTTTCTGTTATTCTCATCTTCTGCCCACCAAAGTTGCCTTCTCTCCTTTTCTTCTTTATTGCTGTATTTTATTATTTATTTGTTGTCATTTTTTCTGTGCACTGGTAGTTAATTATGTTTTATATATGCTGGAAAATTCTAATAAAAGCACGAGGACTTAGAATAGAAACTTTTCTCTTTTTTAATTGATGGAAAATCTGCAAGTTTAATTAGGCAACCCATTGAGATAAATGCATCAACAAATAAATTTCCCCCTCATGAATGCAGTACAGCCAACAAGAACTGCCTAGCAAGTTCCAATTCACTTGGGTACCAAAGTATTTACACCCGCCACACTTGGGCCAGAGAATAGCTTTCTGCTACAACCCAAGGATTACAGAGTGAACCCCAGCAGGGCAGCTGATTCTTAAGGACTGGGAAATCTTCTACTGGATTAGAGCGCACACACTTTTTTCTTTCAGAGTGACAGGCGAACAAGTGCATGCCAGGAACATGCCTGAAGGAAGAAAGGGTTAACATAAAACTGCTCTTTGCAGGTAGTTACTATCTAGGCTCTTCTAGGTTGCTCTATAAACAAGCTGGTCCTGATGACCTGGAGAACAGGGAAGTATATAGATCCTATTTAGTCTACAAACCTCTTGTTTACAGTACAGGTTATTCTTCTGTTTACACTATGCACCATCTGAATCTAGAAAAGAAAAAGGCGAGGCTAGTCTGAGACTGCTGATGTCAGCCACTGGTGAAAATTGAGAAGGTGTGATCTTGCGATTAGAAATATCAAAAGAAGGTGCACTGATACATAGAAAAAACATTAAAATTATTTTAAAATAATAATCACATAATATGGGTCGTAACTTTTATAATAAAGCCAGATGTTCAATATTGTTTAGTAATTGACATAAGGAAGCAATGGTAATTATAAAGAAGATATTTATTTCTCATGATTCAAAGAGGCATTGCACTTTTTACTTCTGCAGCTGAAAAGCAAGCAGCGTACTTCAGGAATTAATTAAAAATGACAGAATAGAAGTGAGGAAACAGCAGTATCAGTTGAGTGTTTTCAACCTATCTGCAATTTGCTTCTACTTAAAAACTTGACCGTTTCTTCAGAGCAATAACTGCATAGCATCTGGGGGATTTCACGGGATCAAATAACTTCACAAGTCCAGACCAGGCAATGTTGTCCTGTAAAATGATATATGACTGAAGTACCTAAAAATGTGTTTGACTTAAAAGCTAAGACATGGTAATAGGTCCACTTTTTGAAATACAAAAAAAAAAAAAAATTATCCATAATGCAAAGCAGGAAAAACACTTATCTAACAAGAAAATCACAGAAAGTTTGCTGTGAAAAAGGACACCCAAACCAGCATTTATTTTAAAGTCATTACGTTACTTCTGGCACTATCAAATGATAGCTTACCACCCCCTTCATCAATAAAGCTTTTTTTCAGCTGAACTAGAGCAAAGAAATTAAGGATCATGTCCTACTCGTCTTATACAGCACATTCTACTACTGAAGTTAATTAACTGACTTTTCAAATGAATCAGGCCAGCTGGATCTGGTCTTTATGTTGCACATGGCTTTTATCATTTCTATTTTTTCTTCCTGACCACATTTTGTGAACCAACCAGTACAAGCTTAAATCAATGTGTATATTACATTTAGAAAAGGTAAATTAGTGCTAAATGCAGCAAGTCTGCTCTCCCATCTTGGAAATCATACAGAACTCTATGTGATTTATAACTGGTTGGCATTTGGGAAAACACATCATTATTTAAATATTTCAAGTTGCCTCTCTGTAAAAATACCAGTTAGAACAAAAGCATACATTTACTACAACACAGTTGTTCCAAGTGCATTATGGCAGAGAATAAAGTGAATTTTTACTTATGATAAAACGGAGCTGTTAAAATGAAAGGCTTGTGGTGGAAAAACAGAGCTATTCACATGAATGGATTTAAACTTTATTTTAAAATTTTATTTTGACCAGGGCCCAGAGCAGAAGCTGGAACATGCTAACATTTCCTCCTAGCAAATTATTATTTGTCTGAAAAATGTTTACTGGTGCAGAGAAAGTACAACTGCTGCTTCTGAGTTAAGCAGGCCAAGCTCAAAATTAGTGTTAGATGAAATACTGTAATATAAATCATTTTGGAGTAAATGCAGTAGCATTTGCTTATTGTATCCCATGTCTATACTTGTAAAATATACCCAGGCTGTATGTTAGCTAAATGTACCTCAGCTGACCCATACAGTTGGAAAAAGTGCACCCTCTCTCATCATTGATCTTAATTAAGAAACAATAAAAGTAAGTCATAACCATTTGGGATCTAATTCAGAATTTCTTCAATTATATGTTCGAAAACATATTCACTGGAAGCTCTAGCATGTACAGCACAATGTTTATTTAGCATTTCCAATATTCTTTTTAATTATTAAGTACCTCAATGTGTTGTATAAAATGAGATTTGCTGCATATTTAATTAATTTATTTTTTACTTTCTATTGACTAGTAATTACTATACAATTAAAAGAACATAAACTTTACTGTTGCTGCTTTGCTGAAAATAAAAACATCTGCTGGGCATATGTTTATACTAAATGGAATGAATGCTTATACTTTTGCAAATATGATGAGAATAATAACTCTGCAACTGAGACTTTTGGTCTGCACAGTAATAAATTGGCTGAAATAGTCTCATTTCACTGACGTAGCCTTTAGGTATTGTAAAATGTAAATACCTGCTCCTTGAGGTAGCAAAGACGATCCAGAAGTATCAAAACTTCTATACAGGGAGCCAGAGCAACCTTCAGCTGAAAGAAAGATTGGTTACCATAAGGATTTGGGGAAAGAGAGACAATACGCTTCCAAATGGCTACACTTCCACAGAACAATTCCAGGAAGGTCAATCATTTTCTAGTAGTTCTGTTGTACAAATGTCACCTTGCCAATTTTCCCTGTGGGATGGACATCTTCAAAACAGATTATATTAAAGATCAAAAAAACATGGAATGCCATAAAGCCAGGAAACTATGCTATTTAATTGGTTTAAAGACATTGTCCAACAAGCAAATTATATTATATGAAGCAGAACAATTTTAAAGAGGGAAATAATGAATTTTAATAAAAGGAATTTTTATGAAATAACTGCATGGAGACCAGTCTAAGTTTAAAAGGAGACTGACATTTCATTTTCCAGGGTAACAGTCCCTCTTGAAAAAGAATCTTCCACGTGTTCGCTTTATTATTTTACTGACACCTAATATAGTTTTGGAATAGGATATGCTCCAAAATTTGGAAGGGGGAGCTGCTTTGTTTTTGAGATTGCATACCACAGCATAAGACAGTCCACCTCTGCATAAAACTTAACAGGGCTTTGTTCTAGACTAGCACATGTACACAAGGTAATAGTATTAATCCTATAACTTTTACCATATTAAATGCTTCAAGCTCATTCATTCTGTGCTTGTATTTTTCATAGTAATCCATTATACAGCTGTCTGGGACCTGCAAGGGATTAAAAAGAAAAGATACCAGAGTTATTCTGGTTACTTTTTCAAGAGAACTTTAAAACAAAATATTTTTTTCCTAATTGAAAGTCACACTACAAAATGAAATCCGTGTTTTGTTTTTGAGATTAGCACTTTCCCAAGGTTTATAATAATTTTCCAATAGCAGTTTCTCAGTTCTCATTTACAACAACTGTTCTTCAGACAGCATTTTGCACTGGCATGAAATACTGAGATACATTCATTATTCAGAAAGCTCTAGCCATTCTTAAATGAGTATTACACAGTAAAGTGCAGATAACATCCTCATTTCCTTTCTCCTATATCTTCTCCCCTCCTCACCCCCATCCCCAAGAGATTTATTTAAATAGCTGAGGAGTGGATTCTGGTGTGAGAGTAACATGCTTCACTCAGGACTCCTGGATGGTATTTCACATTACAAAACCTACTGTCGGATTCTGGAAATAATACTTTGTTTCTCTGACCCTCATGTTACACATCTTTAAAATAAAACTTTCTCTATTTACTTTGAACTACTACATGTTCCCCTCTTCTTATCCTAGTCACCTGATGCAACAATGCCAGCACTGCCATTATGACTGTAAATGTTGTGATTTGGGGTTGAATTTGATACAAAGGCAGCTCAAGAACTCGACTAAGCCAAATACCCCTTCTCTTTTTAGTCCTCAGCAGCCAGTGCACCAGAGCAGGTAGCTAAAGCTATGAACATGACTGCTCTTCACAAAGTATGTTCTACACAGGGCAGCCAGACCACAACATTTTCTAGTTTTTAAAGGCCGTGATGTCTCTACTCTTCTGATATTCACAGTCCTGGACGAGAAACAACACAGCTGAGCTGGCCTCTTAAGGAACGTGTCGGAGGAGTGGGAAGTAGCTTTGCAATGTTATTGGTGATGGAGGCTGCTGGAAGGAGCAGAGCTGAGAGAGCCTGATGTACTTCCTCAGTATTGGGCGTTCGCAGTATGGCTACTCTGTTGTGGCTACGGAAAGAACTAGTCCACAACTTAGCAGAAAAGTAACAGTACTGACAGACGTGTAGACGTGGTGCTTAGGGACATGGTATAGTGGTGGACGTGGCAGTATTAGGTTTATGGTTAAACTCAATGATCTTAGAAGTCTTTTCCAACCTAAATGATTCCATGATTCTATGACAAAAGACTATGCAAGCTGAAATGTTGAATACATTTTTGCACACTTTTATTAGAAGAGTCATCTGAGAGCATGTGGCTTATCCAGTTGCAAAAAAGTAATATCT